GTACTTTATCTTCATAGTATTGCATATGTCCCATCCTAATGCAGGAAAAAGTCCTTGTTAAAAAGCTAATATAATATTTTTTTTCTATTGTTAAGCAATGTCAGGCTTCTTAGTGGATCAAAGAAAAAATCAGGTAAACATCAGGACATTTTTTTGGTACAGTATATATTACCAGACTACTTATAAGAAAGGCAAACAGCAAACTAAAAAAATGTTATGAATTGCTTTACATAAGTGCATTAAGAGCAGATTTTATCGTAAAAGGACAATAAAACATACTACTTTGAATTTCAGAATTACTTTGTTTACAACAGAATGTTTTAACAGTTTGCAGTATATTTTCATCAATTCATAATTACTTCAAATCAATGCATGGAAAATTTTTATAATACTGTTGCATTGCAAAAAATAGTCAGCATGAGCTAGTTAATATCCCTTTATAACAATATATAATTAAAATTAAATTAAAACCGAACTAAAGTTTCTTTAAACAAAAAGCTTTAATTGTTGATTTAAACTGATTAATTTTAAAATCAGATGAAAGAGACGAATCAATAATTGTGAAACTACTTAAGTCCACTCTACATAACTTGTTACTGATTTGCATGAATAATAAATAAGCATATGAAATCATCCCCATAAAAATTGAAATCATCACCATAAATCTAAAATCATCACCATAAAAATTTTCTAATTCAACTATCATTAATTAAAATAAAAAAGACGTAGGATCAAAATTGCAATTTTGATTCGTCAAATCTATTTCTTTTTTAAAAAATCCTTATTTATATTTGTAGAAAATGGGATGTTCTGAACTCACACACAAATCAGGACCAATATTTTTTATCAGGAATATCAGGACAACTACAAACTCTGCTATATCAAAAAAAATGAATGTAAAGAATAATTTAGTTATCTAACAAAGTGGGGCAAAAATTAAACCGGGTAAAACCAAATATTCAAAGAAAACTAACAACATATTTTAAAATACTCAATTGAGAGAACAAAAGGATTAGTAAAATAAAATAAAATAGACAAAACATGAGAAACAATAGCAAAAAGGCTGAAAAATGAGCACATAAAAATAATACCATTGAATAAATATAAATAATACCAAGCATTGCAACATTAATTAAATATAAAATGATCACAAAATAGAATGAATAAATAGAAAAAATGAATATCAATGAGAAGTTTGTAAAGTATACAACATACATCACATGCTATTTAATTTCATTACAAGACATTTTAGGAACGTATTTATCAGGAACTATTTAAATGAGCTGGTAATTTTAGAAAGTGAACACTTTGATTAAAAGAATTAATATCATGAACAACTTGAATATTTTCAGAAGAATAAAAAAAAAAGTGTCAGGCGTTGAACCAGACAAATGATTTTTCTTGCATCGTATGGTTTATTATAAGAGATTAAATGAAAAATTTCAATATTTAGAAATAATATGCTATGTGATACTATTAGATTGATCGAATATCTTAAAATGTTGTATGAAAGTAAGGAAATAGTAGGTATTAAAAAAAAACTGTTTCAAAAAATGATTATGAAAATGAATACTGTAATAAAAAAAGATTTTTTTCAACAAAAAAATAATAAAAAAACTTCAAAAATGCATTTAAAAATAAAACATTGCATGATAAAATTAAAGTAAATATGGGTTGTGTAAGTTTTTGTTTTAGATGAGTTGGAATTTTTTAAAGAAAAAAACAATCAACAAGTTGAATGAAGATATTAAATAAATATTATTTGGGCTATTTTAGCCTATTTGGGAAGCAATAACAATTTCTGATGGATTAACTATAATACAAGTAGTTTTATTTCATTGGAATCACTACTGTAAAGATAGAAAAATATGCAAGATGTATGTGTTACTCAAGATTTCAAGTTTGAAAGAAACTTAAAAAATTAACTCAGTACAGTAAAAATTAAAAAAAGATATAAAAGTTTTTTTGAGAATAAATAAATATATATTTGCAATCAAATTCTCAAAACAATTCCTTTTTGAAGTCCTTTAATTAATTCAATTTTAAAGTCATAAAATGTTAAAAAAATGAAATGAAATGTAATAAAAAGATTCAGCTTCAAATTAGATCAATATAATTAAACATGCAACTTTTTACAAAAACAATTTAAATTTTGGAACAATTCAGAGTCAGTCTCAGAAAACAAATATATTTTTAGAACAATCAAAATAAAAGCATTAAGAAACTATAAATTGCATAAAACCTACAGTAAATATCTTAAATATTAATCTTTAAAAAAATTCCTTATTTTTCAAATATAGGTAAAAATTCTTAAAACTCGTAACCGTGTTTAATGAAATTTTACAAAAAAAATTTGAAAGAAATTTGTCCTGCAAAATGAAAATTCTTCAAATAAAGTCCCATAACATCTTTATTAGTTTTTCATGGATACGTTCAAAAGTATAGATGAATTTGACTTGTAAAAGAAAGAAAAATTAATTAATTTCATGATACACAGAAAAAAATAAGCTCATGACTTGCATTTAAATAGATTCTGTCATAAGATGAAGATCAGTGTTTATTAAAAACTGAGTATCAGGATCGCTCATTAGAACCGTTACAGTGAAAAATTAATCTTATTCCCAGTATCAACTAAAATTGAATGATAAATTTTATAAGATCAAATGTATAAATTTTTCTGACAAAAAAACAAAGCCTTAAAAATCAGTACATAGAAACACCCATTATAGCTCATAAATATTTATTCCATCAAAATATTTCAAATGAAATTAATAGTTAATAATATTACGTCAAAAATTTACTTTGATACATTTCTTCAAAATAATTAATCTGTGAAAAAATAAAACACAATTGAAAAAAATAAAGAGTAAATTTTCAAAAATAAAAAAACAAGTTAAATGAATTCCAAATGTAAAAATGTGTGTTTTGGGTAATAATTTAAAGTAATAATTTTCATTTAAATCAAGTATTATTTCTACCTCGATGTTATTGATATGTTGAAAAAATAATTAAAAGTATTACATGTGGAGAGATACAACAAAAATTCTAATTATTATCAAATATTTTAACGACTTTCTAACATCAAAGCTGACAGTTTTAAGTTCTCTTTACCTTTAAGCTATAATAACTAATCATCAGTATCTAAGCAAATGAATCCACCTATTATTGATGGTGAAAAAATGTGGGCCAGCAAACCAGATTTAACACACACACACATGTGACAATGCTTGATGGTATCAAAATTAATCTAATTCAAAAATTGATTCAGTCCCACTAACTCAAGAATTAAAGCTGTAACGTTAACATGCGGTGCACACCATATGATTAGTTAAAAGTACCTAATTCAGTTATGATATATAACTCTACCTCGCAAAATAACTGATTATTGATGGTATATAGATTAACACAATCACTTGTGTTAAGCCAGCACAAATACAAATTTCCCAGCTATGATAAATGCACATTTGAAAAAGAAAAAAAAAAAGTTGAAAGTTTGCTTTTTTTTAGTTTTATCCTTAAAGTTTCATTCCAATTATCAGACACCCCTGAAACTAAGGGCATATCAGAAAAATGAAAACGTCAGATAATCATTAGACAATAACAATTCACTTTATTAATCGTCTAAATATTAACTGATTCTGCCTTGAGCCCTGATTTTTCAATTTCAGCAAAACGATCACTTTCATTCTGATTCTTTTCAGTTTAGTTTACAGACGAGGTGATCTGTGATCAAGGAGTTTTTGCACTAGTGCAGGTAACAAGACATATTCTGTTTGTAACACTGTGTCAGTTTAAGAATAAAATTACTAATATTAATCAGTGACATTAAAATCTAAAAAAAAAACTTCTTTTATTTTTTCTATCAAAAATAATGCAGGCCAAATTTGAGATGGATAGATGTTCTAGTAAAAGACTTTTTGGTCTAAAAAACTAAAAACTGGAAAATACTAGCAGGAAAAAAGTTAGCCTGGAAAAAATTTCTTGAGGAGGCCAAGGATGTCGAGCCATTGATAATGATGATCAAAAATAATGATACAATATCATTAAAAAATGACTGAAACATTTCTTTCATTGTTTAATTGTAGTTTTTCACAGTTGGTAACAGTCCTCACAACAGTAATTAGATTGATTTGAATGCAGTGTTAAATGGCTCAAGGTTAAAACAACAAAAAATCAGTAATTGCATAACATCAGCTGTAATTATGATGAAAGGAGTGTCAGGAATCTGTAAATGCTTGTAAAACAACTGAAGTCTTGTATGATTGTGTGTTGGATAATCAGGTTCCACAAATCGGGTGTGAATAAGCCTTAAAATATTAAACTATGAATGCTTTGAATATTCAAAATATTAACGTTTAAAAATCAAATTAGGTAAAAAATTAATTTAAAAAAATTCTAAATAAGTAATGCATTTAGTAAATGTACTAAGGAAGCTATAGATGATTATAGTTCAGACTTTGTATATTCAGAACATTGATTTAAAAATTTTCGTTTCATGTGAAATTGTTTCGTTGAAGTTTCATTTATAAATTTTTCATAAAATTTGGGAGTAAAAATGCATATATGCGTTTAGTTTTCAAAAATTAGCTTAAAATATATTTCAAAAAACTAAAGTATTTTGGGGAAACCACTGAAAATATTAAATTCTAAAGTATTTGAAATAACTTTTAGTAATCGAACATAGTGATCAAAATTATGTGTATTTCAAGATGAACAACATTAATATTCTCTGATTAAAAAAACTGAATTGTATTCTTTTTTACAATAGAAATATAAAATAAAAGATAGCATAATATAACAAATAAAGATAGACTCAAGACGGCTCGACTTTCTTAATCTAAGAGTTAATGTTACTAAATATATTTTATTTTAAATTGCTAGTTTCAAAGACATGGAAGCAAACAATATCTTTCTATAATTAATTAATTAATCAGTATTGCTAAAAAAATTATTTATAATAGTCAAAACATAGATTGTTACACAACTTGAGACTACAAAAATATAAACATAGTTTTATTATCATTTTTTCAAAGAAATCGCAAAATCAAAGAATTACATAGTTGGGAACACTTTCGTTATTATAATTTTAAAGTCACAAAATTGGATATTTGGATAAATAAACCAACTCTTAAACTGATAAGTGTTTTTTAATACTCCCCATAACCTTCATTAAAGTTTTATTGCTGATAATTCATAAAGTGTGAAGAAAAAAAATTTTATAGTCAAAATAACAATTACTGCAATTTTCCAGTCTTTGATCTAAAATCTCATTCTATATACAATTGCTTGAACACATAGAGAGTCTTCTATTAATGTATAGTATTTCACAAAAAAATTTATCATAGAAATATAAAAAAACATTTATCAAACAAAAAAGAAGTTTTTGCAGGACCAAAAATGAAGTAGAAAGAAAAATGAGTATTCCTCCAAAAATCTTAACTTCGCAATCTAAAATAAATAAGATTTACTAGTAGTTAATTAAATTAACTTAACAAAAATCATTCTTATTTTAATCGGAGTTAAATTACTATGAACAGAACAGCATGAAGTAAATACATGATAGAATCATCTCTTAGTTCAGCAAATTACATTTTGATACTCGTAATTGGACTTTTTGCTATATTTTTGCTTCAAACTAACTTTTAGAAATTATCGTTATACTACACTTCTGATTAGTTTCATTTCATATTGTACATTATAATTATTAAATATAAATATATACAAAACTATCAGACCTTTATATTTTTACAAAGTGTTTTACAGACTTAGATGTACTTAAATATAAACATGTAGTGAAAATCTATTAAAAAGGAAAATGCACAATTATTTATTTTTCCTAATATAAAGTACTCTGTTAATAAATAACTATTATTAAAACCTTCTCTTCCCTCAGGAAGAAAAAATACTGGAAAAATTAGACCATAAACATCACATTTGACTTATTTCTAGAATCATACAAAAACTAACACAAACAAACAAAAACTTTTGGTAAATAAGTCGCAACTGGAATGTTGGCACCATAAAAATCTATGTAGACTTTTTTATGATAGATCTGTACAATGATAAGCAATCGTAGTTGAGCACCAATTTTATGAAAAATTCCAAATGGCCTCAGAGCCTGACTATGAATAATTTAGGTCTAGAGCTTAGAGGCAAATTTTGAGTCTTTTATTGGGATTTTCGACAAAGTATCTTTATTTATAGGTTAGACGTTTTAAGTTTACATTTATCAAGAAAATCTAATAAATAATGCACTAAAATTAAAAAATAGAAATCATCCTACAGTTATTTTCCTTGAAGTCTAAGAGATAAAAAGATTTTTAAAAAAAAAGAAAGAAAGAAAGTGACCAAGGTCCTAGTACCTTTAGATAATCAAGCCCTGAGAGACGTTCATTGGATTCCATGAAAACAGTCATATGAGATGCAAAATTTACACATGAAATTTGAAATTCAAGCGCTAGGAATTGATTGCACTTTCAACAAAGATTGAATGTGAATCCATAGTTAGGTGAATACAGTCTTCAGTTTCTTCTTTTTTTTCATTGAAACATTTCATAAGAAAATCAATCACAGATCTTAGGGAGTTTTAAAGCCTATTTTTCTTGAACACTATTGCAATCACTTGTTATCGTAGAACTGGCTACTACACTCTTTTTTACAGGTGAAGACTTGGGACTAATACTAAACTTAGATTTAGCCTTGGGACTGTTATTTGGATCTGGTTCTTCCACTTCTCCAATACTTGTTTGGACTAGAGGTGTTTCCAACTCAGGATGTTGAGCCATTCTAGTTCTCAGAAGATAAGCATATGTTCGATATCTTGTTAGCTGAAAAAGGGAATGACTTTAAAATTCAAACAAAAACATTATTTTTATGCCAGTTAAATTAGAAATAAAAGTTTGTGAAATTTTATTGTGTTTGAAGTTTAATTTCGTTAGAATGTAATTGCAATAATGGAAAAACTCATAAAGCTGACATTAATTAAATTTCAACAGACTAGCACCAATCCATAACTCCAATAAGCGATCGAGCACTTAGTGTCGAATGTATTTACTGAGGGTAGTGGATTAATTTTATCAAGATAACATGCATTGCAGGAATAAATATACTTCTAGAAAGCATGCACTAGAAAAATAAATACATTGTCTTGTTTGGGACTAATCAATGTTCCTTATATTATACAATAATTGCACTCAATTATAAAATTAAATAACAAATAAAAATAAACTATTAATCAAAACATAAATTGTGCAAAATATCAATACTCAGTTTCCAAAAAAAAAAAAAGAATTTTTTTTTATGCTTTCTAAAAAGATCAAACTTTAAATAGATATAGGAATTTTTTATCAGTAAAAGCCTGTTCTTTAATTTGTAGTGGTATATTGTTTAATATGTTTAATATTTCGCATTTTGTTAGAAACATGCATTTTGTTAGAATATGCATTTTGTTCAATAAGCATTTTGTTAGAAACAGAACATAGTTAGATGAAGATGTATCTTACGGATTTCATGACTTATAAAATTAAAAGATACTATAATTATGTAAACATCAATTGTAATATTGATCATCCGTCAGGTTTGCCACTATATTTTTTTTCAGGTTTCATAAATGAAAAAAGTAAGAATTTTTAAGTTCCTTTAAATTTTTTTTTTTTCTAAAACCTAATTTCTTAATAATTCAAGATTTGTCCTGTTCCATAGGAATCCTGCAATATAACTGCCTTTAATACAAAATGTACGTCAGAAGTTATAATATTCTCCAAAAACTATAAAATATGAAATAAAAGACGGTCTTTCTTTCAGTCAGAAAACCTTTCATATTCAAACTCAACTTGAATTGCTCATTTCTGTAAATGTAAAGAGGTAATAGTAGCTAAGCTAATTTCAAATACTTTTGAAAATTCTTTGGTAATCACACAAGCAAGTTTTCAAAGTCTAAAAAAGTGTTCAAGGAAAAAACAGACAAGAAGATGGGTAGAACAATTCAAAGGAACTTTGAACAAACCTATTCTAACTGAATTGGAAGACATTCCAGAACAACCAACTTATATCAAGTTAATATTAATGCAGATCCAATTACAAAACACACTATGCTTCAAGTAGCAAAATTGCTGACAGGGGAAAAAGTTGCTGGCAACAATAACCTACATGGGAAACTTTTTAAGGAGAGTTCAAAAGTTCTCTTTGTTAAGTGTAACTAGTAATATACTTACTAGAATTGACCTAAAAAGAATGAAAAAAGCTGTTTATAAGATCAGAACAGGGAGGCTTTAGAGCTAATTGATCATATCTAGATTATATAGCAGCACTACGAAAAATCGCTGAATAATTTATAGAATGGTAATTACAGTATCTTTGAACTTTATTGATTTTGAAAAGACCTTTCATAGTACCAATAGAGATCCACTACGGAATTTAATGAAGTATACAAAATCTCTGAATGTTTTTTTGTTTAAAAAAACTATTAAATAGATCCAAAAACTTATCAGAATCCACATTAGCCAGCGGGTCAGAAAGCTTTGAGATAAATTTTGGTATTCACCAAGGAATTGCTTTTCTCACAGTCCTCTTTATTATTGACTTCATAGTGAATCAAATATTAAAAATATTTGGAAGAATTTAACAGGTTGTTGTTTCTATTTTTATCTTGATTTTGCAGGTGATCTCTGTTTCTTGACTAGTACCCTTCAAGATGTAAGAACAAATACAAACGTTTTAAGCACAAAGGTAAAGAAAATGGGGTTAAAGATAAACCAAAACAAACAAAAATTACAAAACTTAATTGCATAAAAGGCAAATAATGTCCACCTGGACAAACATAAGGAGGGAGAGCTTAACAGTTTCATATATTTAAGTTTTAAGTATAGTTAACAATAAAGGATGAATATTTAAACAAATAAAATGAAGCCCAGATAGGTCTTTCTACTTTAAACAGTTTCTGAAAGAATATTGACCGATTAAAGTATCCTTATTTCCAGAACATAACTAATGAATGTGTGAATAAGCTAGTACAGAAATGTGCAAGAATTTTTTGCATCTGTTTTATTTAGATTGTATTCAAAATATTATTAAACGACACCATTGCACTGTGTTTGTTACACTGTAAAATTATTTTGTTACTACCATTCACAGATTCTGTATAGTCTTTTATCAATCAAAATTATTGCAAAACATAAAATTTATCATAAAATAATAAATAAAAATGAGAAAATAATGCCCCTTTTAGATCAAACAATCTATACACATTGAGTTTAGAAATCCAAAGACGTAACAATATTATATTTGGAAGGATTTTTCAAATTGAAATGAACATAGAAATGTAATATCTTTCTTTTATTCAAATAGTGACCAATAAAATGCATATAATTAAAATAAAGAAATAATATCAGGAAACATTTCTTATCACTTGTAATATTCCTTTTGAAACTTATGCATTGGATATTGAATTTAAAATATAAATAAACAAGGAAAAAAAAATAGAAAAATATTTCCCTTATCAAAATGTGAAATTTTTGTCAACTTAACCTGTAATTTTTTTTTTTTTTAAAAAAGAGCAAAAATAGTAAATGTCAGTCATTAGTGCTAAATTTTTAATTTTTATTTTATTGAAAAACAAAGACTTCAATTAAAAATATTCTGCGAAATTTTAATTTCTGATACCTGCCATGTGTTAGTTTTAAGTAGCAAACATCTGCATGATATTATTGATAATTGAGACCAGGGATGGCTGGCTTAAACAACTGATGACCCTGGTTAAACAAACTGAGACCAGCGTTGGCTGGCTTAAAAAATGACCAAATGGGTTTTTTTTAAATATTTTATATAATTAAATTTTCTATTATTTAAATAAACATTAAAAAAAATGGAAATCTGGATTGTAACAAAGTGAAAAAAATATGAAGTTTTTTTACATTTTTGAGTTTTATTGCTAATAGAAATCTGTATTATTACAAAAAAACATAAATCTGCAATTTTAAAAATAGAAAAATGATTTTCCACAAAAATTTATGTTAAACAGCATTGGCATTTTGTTTAGAAGAAACTAAAAATGACTCATATAAGTGTTTAACTAACTATAAGTATTATAAAAATTATTCATACAAATTAAATTTTATATAGTAACAGAAAGTATAAAGTTTATCACATTTATTTATTTTTGAAGTTTTATTTATTTATTTACTTATTTTATGGAGAATTTTAAAATCTATATATCATATACTGTAACAGTCAGTTTGAGTACTGAAACTTAACATTATTTGATTATACAAATTAGCTATTTGTAATAGGAAATTCAATTGTGTTTTAAGTAGTATCTATGATTAGCATGTGACTTGCTAATTTAGTGATAGAAATTAAATTCGATTATGTTACTTCAATAGCAAGATATTCTACTGCAAAACTAGTTATTTTTATCTTTTAAGAAATTCATAAGAAAATATTTCCAGAATTTTTTCTGCTTTTAAGTTTTTACTTGATATATTATATAGCATGAAAATTAACTCTATTCAACTAGATTGCAACTATAAATTGTGCAGTCAAAAGTATAAATAAGAATGAGGTGTTTTCTAAACTTTATTTTTTCAGTTTTATTTTAAAATTACTTTCTGTCACCAGTGTAAATAAATTTGTAATGTATCTATGCAGTTTGTTTATAGTCATTTATAACATAATTTTCAAAATACATTTTTAATAATATTTTCAAAAAAACTGTGAAAGAAAAATATTAAATTCACTAAAAATATTTCTACGTACAATCTCAAGTATTTCTTTCTTATTTATTTAAAGCTGTAATACGCCAATAAGAATTTTGCTAAACTTAAAATCCCAAAAGGTTAAAATAATTGATAAAAAAGAAATTGTTTACTTTTCAAACTGTTAGAACTAAAACGTACCTTTACTATTTTATATGCTTATATTTATGCAGTCAATTTTTATTTCTTCTTAACATTCTATGAAATTTAATTATTTTTTTTTAATTTAAAAAATACATTGCATTGAATACCTCAGCTTCATTTATATTAAAATTCGTATTCATAAAATAAATAAAAAACAAGTGCTTAATTTAGATCAATTAATTGATATTAAAACTATAAATTGTATACTGCTAAATAAGGACATTAATATAAATAATTCTGAATTATGACATTTCTTTATATACTAACAATCAAGGGGGTAAACTAATTTTTACATACATGCACTATTAAAAAAACAATTAGGTATTAAATAATTATTTGCTTGTTAAGGCAATTGTAATAAATATTCAAGATCTTTAGTTATATTTTTTTTATCATGTTCACATATTTATGAGCAAAAATTTATATTTTTGTTTGTATTCTTCAACAAAATATTAATCAATAGTTTAAAAGATCAAAGTGAAAAACTTTTTAATTTCCAAATTACTTTTAAGTTGGGGCTTACTTTTTTGTTTTAAATAAATCAGAAAAACTTCGCAGGGAAAACAACAGTTTTAAAATTTAAAGTATATTTAATTAGTTAGAGTAAAGAAAGGTACAATAGCAGATGATAAAGCAAAGTGACTGACAAAGAATTTACTGTTTGAATTTGGCGCACATTAAGGGTTGTCTCAATTTCAAGCGTGGAGATGTTTCTGGGTTCCCAAGCTGAAATGAACTCTGCGTCCGAGGAGGTGAAGTCGAGTGCCAACTCCTGGTGAATTAACTATATTTACGCATTATTCTTTTCGGTACAACAGACAGTTTTGGACTATAAATGGTTTGGTCATTGCTTGAACAAAATTATTTGACTACTATGTTTCAGTATCAGGTGAGGAAGTTAAATAAACTTAAGCTTTTCAGAAATGGTTTTAAATAAAATGATTGTTTCAGAATCGTTTTTCATATTATCAATTTCAAACTTTTATTTTAGAAAGAAATATAATAACCAGTAGCTCTCAGGAAAAATTATCTTAATTGAATTCAGAACTTCTGTAAATGCAGCTTTCAACTTTATTAATCTCAGTATTCTTTATTTATACATTCCTGAAGTTATTTATTTTCCTTTTTTTTAAATTTGATTCATTTATTTTATTTGATTGAATTAATCTTTCTCAGGGATTAGTTAATATTTTTATTGCTGAAAGCCACATTTGAAGCTAAATGATTCAATTTAAGAATATTCTATACCTCTATTAATAGCCTAGAATACCTCTATTAAACAACCTAGTTCTTAAACAAAGTAGACACTTCTTTAATACACTGAGAAACACAATGTTTCCAAACTTTTAATGTTCATGGTCCCCTTTTTCAATCAAAATTTTAGCCACAAACCCTCTGAAGTGAAATAACTCTATTACAATGCATAAAAGATAAATTACAAATTGAATTCTGATGTTCAGAATGGTAAATAATGTCATAAAATACAAAGAAAACATTGAGGTATCATGTGCAGTTTTCTCACTGGCTTTTGAAAAATATTAGAAAATAAGCTAATCTACTGAGAGAGAAAAAAAAGTCAAGTTTTTTAAAAAAAAAAAAAAAAAAAAAAAAATATTTTTATATTTTNAAAAGCGGTAGCAGTTACCGATTTGAATTCAAAAATTGTCTATAAAAACTTCCAAATTAACTGCATTTCGGAAGTTTTGAAAAGTCAAAAAAGAAAGAGAAATTCAACAGTTATGATACACAATCGTTCGTAATATTCATTGACATGGTTGTTGAAAAAACTAATGAGAGTTAAGCAGAAAATGATCATGATCTTCATAATTTTCTACATTAGAGTAAATAATCTCCACAAATTTTGTCAAAAATATTTACCCATGTAATCATTCTAAAATGTTCCCAAATTTCATAGCACATAATCATTACTAATGTACTTTAACTTTAATAATGATGAAAAGAGGTTGCTAATATTTTACTTTATATTAAACCTTTCACGGAATTCGTAATGCAGCCCATTCACCCCAAATTAATTTTAATTGGCCCACCCACACAGTTACAAGAGCCACCTGAGTTTGTAAAAAAAACTGAGCAGCTATTAAGTAAAGAGTATAATTAACTAAATAAAACTGCAGGCTTATTTTTATTTATTTAAATTGCTGAAAATTATAAAATCATATCATTGAATAATCAAAGCAACAATCAGATAGTATTTTTTCACCAAAATATATTTTAAAAAATAAATACATTTTAATTGAAGTAAAAATAACAATTTAATTGTACGATTATGCAATACAAAAAAAGAATTGAATACAAATTATGCAATACAGAGAACAAAAAAAAAAAATTAAACAAAAATGTCTTCATGAGATAATTGAATAATGAAATTAAATCGCTGGTTATTTCAAAAATTGAATTTTTTTTTATTTTTTCCAAATAAAAATTTTAGAATTGCTCAGAAAACAGTAAGAAGTAAACAAATATAAAAAAAAAATTTCTGCAGTATAACAAAAATTATAATTTTTAAAAAAAAAGCAAATTTAAGTTATTAAACCCACTTCATTTGTCAAATGTGCTTCTTTTTCCAAAAACTCTTGAGCAAATCTAGCTTTTAAAGTTTTCTCAGGTGTTCTAGTAACAAGTTCCTNAAAAAAAAAAAAAAAAAACGGTAGCAGTTACCGATTTGAATTCAAAAATTGTCTATAAAAACTTCCAAATTAACTGCATTTCAGAACTTTTGAAAATTCAAAAAAGAAATAGAAATTCAACAGTTATGATACACAATTGATCGTAATATTCATTGACATGGTAGTTGAAAAAACCAATGAGTGTTAAGCAGAAAATGATCATGATCTTCATATTTTCCAAATTAGAGTAAATAATTTCTCATTGCCCTTAGCATCTCCACAAATTTTGGCAAAAATATTTACCCGTGTAATCTTTCTAAAATGTTCCACAATTTTATAGCACATAATAATTACTAATGTACTTTAACTTCAAAAATGAGGAAAAGAGGTTGCTAATATTTTACTTTATATTAAACCTTTCACAGAATTCGTAATGCAGCCCTTTCACCCCCAAATTAATTTTAATTGGCCCTCCTACACAGTTAAAAAAACCACCTGAGTTTGTAGAAACAACTTTGAGCAGCTATTAAGTAAAGAGTGTTATTAACTAAATAAAACTGCAGGCTTATTTTTATTTATTTAAATTATTTAAAATTATAAAATCGTATCATTGAATAATCAAAACAACTATCAGATAGTATTTTTTCACTAAAATAAATTTTAAGAAATAAATACATTTTAATTGAAGTAATAATAACAATTTAATTGTACGATTATACAATACAGAAAAAGTATTGAATACAAATTATGCAATACAGAGGACAAAAAAAAGTTTTAAAACAAAAAAATTTGTTCATGAGATAATTGAATAATGAAATTAATTCGCTGGTTATTTTAAAAATTGCAGTTTTTTTATATTTTTCAAATAAAACTTTTAGAATTATTCAGAAAACAGTGAGAAGTAAACAAATATAAAAAAAAAGGTATTTTTCTGCAGTAAAACAAAAATTATTAATTTTTTAAAAAAGCAAATTTAAGTTAGTAAACCCACTTCATTTGTCAAATGTGCTTCTTTTTCCAAAAACTCTTGAGCAAATCGAGCTTTTAAAGTTTTCTCAGGTGTTCTAGTAACAAGTTCCTCGTATTCCTTCTCTAACCACACAATTCTATTCTCATGATCTTGAAGTTGCTCTCGCTAAAGAAAACAGAAATGCATAAATAATTTACATACATAAACAACATAAGATTTATGTACTCTTACATGAGTTCATGTTATACATTTTTATTTATGGCTTCAAAGCAAAATTTCTTAAAAAATTCCTTACATTTTAGATAATATGCTATGAAGAAAAAAAAAAGTCATTAAAAATTACAGATAAACATGAGAATGAGAGCAATGTTAACATAATGCCCTAGATTGTTGTGTAAGAAAACAGAAATATTTATAAATGAACTTCAGTAAAATTTCTATCGTTGCGTAAGACTGTGAGTTCCATTTAAATATTGATTTATATTATAAATACATAATAATACATTTCAGATTCTTTTGCTTATCATGCAGTTTGAAAATCAAAACTGAACATATTTCTCCCTTTTCTAATGAAAAAAAAATTATGTAAATTTAATAACAAAACAAAACTAGTCATTCAATAATATTCCTATAGTTAGTTATAAATATTTTATTCATCAATTGCCACAATTAATCAAAATAAATTTTAAAATAATAAACTACCAGCTTACACAGTGTAGATCACAGCTGCTCAAACGATATCTTTTATTTAAAATTAAAATGAACAAACCACCTCGTTCTCTCAATAGGAATAAAAATAAAGTGAATAACTGTTTCAAAATATTAAAGATAGTTACAAATCTAAGGTTTCAACTGTATTATAAACTAAATCTTATGGAAACAAACACGAGAGGTCAAAAAAGCAATAGTCAGTCATGCTATGGCATCATTGACGAGCCTAAGACTTCTGGTAGAATTTGTATTTTAGAATAGGTGGTGAATTATAACCTCTTGCAAAGCAACACAGAGGCATGGATTCTTAATGCATTGTTACAACACTGGAGGTGGCACTATGATACCTTAGGGATAGTTTTCTGGCATGCTCTACATTTATTTTAAGTACAAGGTAGTTTAAATCTGACAAATATTTGAACAATATTGATGACCAATTATAATAAGTACTGTAATATTGATAATTTATGAGTGAGGGGTACTTTCAACAGTATAATACTTCATACCATACTGCTTGTATTGTAAAGGAAGGATTTAAAGAACATGGAGATAAATTTTGCTGTGTTGAACTTCACCATTCTCAGATCTCAACTACTATAGACCATTTGCAGAATAAAATTGAAAGAGTCATTGAACTTTAAGAGCCAAACAAAATGTCTCACATGACCAAACAAAAACTTTTAGTTTCCATGCTATGAAGTCAAGAGACTAGCAATAATAAAATGGTCATTCAGTGTAACAGACTGATTGAAGATTGTACAGTAAATAAATAAATCATTCAAGATAATGAATCCATTAAGCTTTAAGAAAAAGATAGAATTTTAACACTTTCGCTATCAGCAGTATCAAAAGTCAGTTTTAAAATTTTTTCTTTAAATAAATCCTCCACTACTGATTCTTTGTCTTCTGTTAAATAGCTTTTAAATTAATTTAGTGATATCAATTTCTACCAGTTCCTTTTGTATATAAAAAATGATATACAATTTTTCTATTATGAGGTGCCTTTTGACACTTTAAAAGATTTCATAAGAGTGTCAAATTTTAAACAATTTAGCATGCAATTCCTTATTTTCATAATATACTTAACATATAACACAATTTTGTGGCAAAATATTATTTATAATCACATTACAGAATCTTGAGTTTGGCAGCAACAGAGAATATAGGAACTATTGCAGAATATTGATAATTGTATGTTTTTTAGCAGGTTGCTTTATAGTGCATATAAATGCTGTAGCTAATTCCAAAAAATTGAATAACATTGTCCTTTAAAGGGCAAAAGGATGCTTTTGGTCAAAATAGGCATACAAAAGCTTGGAACATATATATGCACTAATTTATTACTGAACAATACCAAGGCAAACTGTTCTGCTATGCAGCAAAGCAACTAAATTAAAATTCTATAAAAATTAGACCTAATAGTCAGGAAGAGAATTGAGATTGTCAATTCAATTATTTATAATGTAAAGTAGAGGAAAACTATATTTAATTAAAAATTTCATTGACTTCAAAAAAATATGAGGATCATGAAGGAAGTCCACATGTTTCAGGGTCTCGAAAATAGGTGCCGAGAATTGCCAAATGTTAATGAAAAAAATAAAAGTGACTGAAACAAAGTGTAGTGTTACCTACAAAAAAAATGGAAAATAATTGTGAAAAAGAAAACTACAAAAACCATGGTAGCCAAGAGTTAATTAGAAAAAAATAAGGATGGAAAAACTAATCTATAAAAACCGCTTTCGCCCAGAGAGGCAAATCAGGGCAAAATGCATTTACATATTTTATGGAGAGGTGGTGAGGAAGTCATGCGGTTAACAAGGGAATCAACATTCATATGAATGAAACAAGATTCCAGGGCGACAAGATCAGTTGATGTGACAGGGGTGAAAATAATTTTGACACTGTCTAAATGGAATTTATAGCCAAGATTCTAACAATTTGAAACAATGATGATTTGTCTCAATCTTGATCATAGACGTAACTATCCTTTAATCTAAATTTTTATGAGAATAAATTGACTTTAATTTTGTTAACAGTCCGAAAAATGACTTTAAAACCAAAACGGGATAATAGAAACTGTACAGCTAACAGGAGAGAAAAAAGGTATAGTGACCTAGTTTACTGAAAGGATTAGCAAAAAAGGAGAGTTTGGGTTTAGTGAGTTTAACAAGAGCTGAATCAACTATTTAAGTGTTAAATACCATGATTTAACCCTTCAGTAAGGAGAGTAAGCAGAGGAAGTGAAGTTCAGAGTTTAAAGAAGAAGAATGAAAGCAAAGATTAAAGATGCAGAAATAAAAGTATGAAATGCAGAAATTTTCAGGCAATGTGATTAGAGCTACAAGAGGAGTTAAAAAATTTGAAGATTTTTCAATTAAGTATATCATTCTGCTGCAGTTTTTTGGGATTATTTATTTAGAAGAACATTATTTTAACACTCAAATGAATTCAGTTAAAACAAAGGTTTTGTGTTACTCATAACAGAACTTCCTGAATAACATTATCAATTAAATAAGAGTAAAAATTTAATAACTAGTAAAACTTAAAATTAGTCTAAGGTATCTATAATGATTCTGTGATGAAACAATAAATTTCATTAAGTAGTAACTACTAAAAAATTCAATGCAACATTAATGCTGAAATATGATCTACAGTATCATTAACTCACAAGCATACATATATTATATAAGTACATGTCTAAAGCAAATATACATTTCATTAAAAAATTTAAACCCTTCACAGATATAAATATTATTTCAAAGCACTTTTCTTTATACTCTTATCTCATAATCCTTATTTTTTTTAATTTCAACATATTATTATTAATTGTTTCATAAAGTGTGATTGTTTTTATTCCCCCCTTATAACTAAAGCCAATACAAACAATACAAATCATATTTATACTCTATTAGCTGATATATAAATGTGTAAGAGTTTTCTAATTTTTTTACATACAAGGGGGCTGAGCCCTCTGTTCGCTGATGCTCACCAAATTATATAACTTTAACTTAAACTGTAAAGTAGAATTACGTGATTCTAAAAATAATAATAAAAACAATCCACCTAAACTCTTAATTTAGAAATCAAACAAAATCAAAAACGTAATAATAACAGTGCATGCAATGTTAATAACAGTGCAGTACATGTAATGCATGTATTTAAACTATAACTTTATGACTTATATAAATTTTATGCTGATGACAACTAAAGCAATGTAAAAATTAATGTTGGAAAACTGAATTCTACCATGTGATTTTCCAGTCTATAAAAATGGAACAAAAAATAACAATAGAAAATGTGGCACCATAATTAGATCTTTATATCTAGTAAGAAGATGTAAAACATACAAGCATAATACAATTATATCAAATACCAAAGAAATTAGTATTTAATTAAAAGTTATCTATTTTCTTTTGGAATCATGTAAGTATAAAATTTATAGTGTAAAATTGGTTATTTTTTTAACTTTATTCTAATTTAGACAAAAATTTATTTTCTAAATTATTAATTTTGCAATTTAATTTAATTAGCTTTACAATATATTTTCATCTCACCTTTTTAACCAAATTAAAATTTTAATTCTAAAACTTGTGTCCCTTTTTTTTAAATGAAATATTGAGCTTATTAAAATATCCCTAATACATTATTCCCATTTTTTTAATTCATTTTTAATAGAACAAAAACATTTCATTTCAACAACCATAATTGCTTCTCAAAGAAAAATTTTTATTAACATCTATACAAAAATAAGTAAATGAACTCACTTAAAAGATATAAAAATATAATCAATTTAAAATTAAATTGAATAAACTAAATGACATCATTATTTTTAACTAGACAAACACATATTTTCGCAACTGGAACATTCTAGTTTCTGAAACAAATTAATAACAAAAAAACATGCAACATAAAAATAAATGCAAATGCCATTAATTAAAAAAATACAAACTTCCTCGATAAAAAAATGAGTAAAGAAGAAGTAAATTAGTTTCATAAGAAGTATAGAAGAAGTTATTTAGTGCGATAAGTTTCTCAAACAGAAAAATTTTGTTAGTTACTGTTAGAAACTTGTTTATTTGTCATACAGAATTGAACTTGATTACTTTTGAACATTCAGTTCAAACACAAGACTTTACTGAGACATCAAAATTTATTATTGCTTGTTTTTTTTTCTAAATTTATAAATATATTTAAGCATTTATATGAAAATTTCAAAAGTGTAATTGTCATAAGGAAAGATATCTGAAACACAACCTTTGTACTCCTAAAAAAGTTTTTGCTTAAAATTTTTTTTTAAAAAATTCAGTTAAAAGAAAATTAAATATTATTGCAAAAAAAGGAGAAAATATTATCAGTTTTTAAGAACATTTTATCAAAAAAATAATTTAAAGTTCAAAGAAGAATAGAAGATAGTTTTAAATAATATCAAAGGTAATATAAAGGCATTTTCAACTGAATGAAAACTAAGTAATCAATGTAATTTTTTATTTTAAATCTTAACACATGGCATTATATTTCAAATTACTTCAAGGAAAAATATAAATAAATGTCTTCGGAATTTTTTGATTTGATTTTAAACCTCCTATTTTTGGCAACTTTTCTACATAAATTTACTTTTATTTCAACAATTACACAAATAATTTCAGATTTAAAGTAACTGATTTTTGCAGTTAATTGGAGTAAAGAAACAGTTTAACATATCACTAAAGAAAAAAGCCTGATGGAATAATAGCGTATCATTTCAATGGTTATTTCACTTAGGCAATTTTATAGACTACACTGAGCTTTTTATTTAAAATTAACTGATAAAGTGTACGATAAGTGGCACAATATTTTTTAAACAACACATCGTCCATATCAAAATCATTCAAGTCATGCCAAAAATAATAACAAAAGAGAAGTGACTTTGTTTCTGTAGCGTTTTTTATTGACTAATATAACGTTAATATTATAAACTTGAGTTATAGAAACTATTTTAAACTTGTATAAAAAAAATTCTAATAAATTTACCAAGTTCAATTTGGTGTGACTAACTGGTAACAAAGGCCTCTGAAATTTTCGTTGGCAGCCAACACCACTAGGCAATGGAGGTGATGATAAACTAGCAGCTACTAAATTAATGGTATCAACCCAACTTTCAAGTTCTTTTGAATCACTAAAATAATTATATCATAATATTAATAACAGATTTTAAATTAAATTAAAACTATTTTCAACAAATTCTTATTGTATAATTAGCAATCAGCTAACTAAATCTGTTGTAAATGTAAATCATTATCAATAGTGATAATTTCATAAACATAATACAGTAAAAAATAAATACTATTCTGTAACAGAGAACAAACAAAATTATGGATAAACCATTTAAGTTTTCCTCATTTTCCTTTAATAGTTATAAGCAATTTCAAATGACAGAACACATAAAAGATAGTACAAAACAACTATAATTGTATAAGACTGTATAATTTTACTGTGATCAAATGTTATTTGTATTAATAGTAGTACTATTATAATATGTCAAAATCAGATTAAAAATGATATTATTTCAGAATGAAAAATGTGATAAAGCTTAATAGAATCGATTGAAAACTAAATTTAGCTTCTGTCAAGATTAAAAGTAAGTGTTGTGTAAAAATGTGTTTTTATGGCAGTCAGTTCAAATAAGATTTACTGCACTAAGCTTCAAAACAGAGAGTATTATAAAAATTAATATGTTTTTGCATAAATGTTAGTTAAGTATTACATCTAAATTGTAAAACTTTTGATACAAATTTTGAACATATGATAACTCAAATAAACTCCAAAAATTTGGCACAAACGCTACTTAGAAGCTAGGTACATTTCATTATCATACACATTCATGAAGAAAATAGGCAATACATATTTGAAATTAGACATTTTAATAAAATGAAGGGGGGGGGGAAGCAAGAATTATTTTGTAGTGAATGTTAAATACTAGATTCTATAGTTACACAAAATGTATGCTGCATGTTGAAAGAAATATGATACTGCCATTAATTTTTTGAAAATCTGTTTGCTTGGCTTGCCTTACAATTGTCCAACAAAGGGTCCTAATTCCACCCATTGGCAGTTCTGCATGTGTCAAGCTGTAATTTTTGTTGTTGTCCAAAACACCAGTGTCATTGTTTTGTTAAACCCAAAATTTCAAAACCATCAGTTGGTTGATTTTTATAATTCAAAACAGTTTCATATACATATGCAAATATATTCAAACATTCAGGAAAATTATTTTTTAAACTTACAAATTTTTTTTTAAAATCAAAGTTGAATGACTTTGAGAAAAAAAATTTAAACCAAGGAATGAATAACGTTCATTCTAATATTGTACTTCATTACAATGCATGTGACATTTAGGATATTAATTATAAATATACATCCACCAAGCAATTCCAATGGGCTTCAAAACATTTGCAACCTGGCCTTTTATTAATGTGAAACAGTTTCATAAATGAAATCAAAAATTTTGAAACCATATAAAGTTGTAAAGTCTTGAAATTTCTCATGGTGATCATGAGTCATTTACTCAAGAATTTAAAAATGACTCTCTGCCTTAGAATGCATGACTATCATCTAGAATTCTAAGACATAAATCCATTAGGAAGAGGAAAATATCTTAAATGCCAGAAAAATATTTTGTAGAAATCAATACAAACAAAAACAAAATAATATAGATGATAAAAAAAATACCTAGTTTGAAAAAGATAAACAGCCTGTTCTGCTGTGTGCAATCTGAAAACATACTGCTTTTTAGTATAATCTACAGCTTTCTCCGCATAAGCATGATGAATACGAATGGAGTTATGGAGACTATCATACAACTGATTTTTCTTGAATCCATGCTCATCCTAAATATGAAAAGTGTACAACATAAAATTCTGGTCTTTAAATTCTAAGAAACATTTTAAAATTGGTAAATATTATTCACCTTGTGAAGGTATAAAACTAAATCTCTTAAAGTAGCATACAACATTTTCCAGCTTCTTCTCCCCAAAGGAGCTAAAATAATCAAAAGTATAGTTAGAAAAAGGAAAAATAATATATCATTAATTTTGAAAACACATTAAAATCTATTTGCTTGCTCTGAAATATAATCATGAAGTATAAATAAAAGTGATTTATCATGAAGTATAAATAAATGATTCATGAAGCATAAATAAATACATCTATTTATACTTCATGAAAATAGATATCTGTGTTACATAACATAGTTTACAGACTACAAATTTGATTCCTTGAAGAGGATACAAGGCTTTGAAGTTTACACACAATTTAATAAAATGAAAATAATGAAGTTAATCAAGTGAAGACAGCACATTTAATAATAAAAATTGATACTATTTAGAAAGAGCCACATAACATAAGAAAACTAAATATAATTTTTCTTAATCTAACATATGTGTTTTCAATGCAATTCTAACCATTTGATTACTCTAATTAAGTGAGAATAGAAATAGTGAAATAGCATTTCCCAATAGAAAGCCATTTTAACAGTTTGACGATGATGCTATCACAATACCTTTCAATCTATTATTACCGGTTTTCAACCTTTCGGCCATCACATAAGTTTCTTAAATTACTTTTCTCATGGCGCCAACATTTTTAACTGTAACCATAAACCCCACTATGCTTGAACACCCCGATCAATGCACATCCCATTGTTGATTGTGCTCAAAATAGGCGAGCTTGCTTTTAAACGCATTTTTCTCCTTTTCCGCATGCGTAAAAAATTTAATTTTTTCCTTATATTTTAGCTGTCCTGGTTTTTCTTAGAGTTGAATTTAGGCAAAATTCAGATAAGATAATTGCTTTCATATATACTTAGAATTAGTTTTATGCTAAAGCATGCTGAGAAGAAAACACAGGCTGCCTTCTAAGAATTCCACTGACATGATGGAGTCTCTGAACATTCTGATGCCTCTTAAAAATGATGTTGAAAAATTGGGACAGTTCTGAAATTTTAAAAATAAATAAATTTTGAACAAATCAGATCTCCATCAAGATCATCTATCCTCATTCATCTCCACACACACAGGGTACATCTCAGTGTAGAAGAAGTAATCAACATCAATTTTTTGGCTTGCATGAAAACGCTATCAAGTTTTCCTTTAAATAAAAGATTGTCACACTATACAAGCTGATGTTAAGAATATTGACAATATTTTCTCAAAAACAAATAGTTTTTATAACTGGTGAGTTCGGATTATGAAGTGATCCCAATAAATATGCAACAAGATTTGTGTTGTTGGCAAGCTGTAGAGAACAGAGTACTATAGCAATAAAAAACATTTTTTTCCACCATCATTGCCACAGTTCAAAATTTGCAATACAGTAGAGTCTCAAATACTCGAGTTTCTCATAAATCCAAGCCAATGAAAGAAATCAGTATTGCTCCCAAATAATGACAAACACACGCACGACACGTGGAACAATTACTACGCTTAATTTTACAATGAAGACAAAGACAGAATGCTGAAATGCAAAATTAAAGTTAGCGATCACCTCATTGATGAAGACGATTTGCCTCTCTTCAACCTGATAAAAAATTTCCAGGTTGCGAAAACACCGACATGACAGTGGTAGATGCATGGCTAAATAGAGATGAATAATTATAATTTTCAGATACTGCCACTGTAGAAATGATCGATGCTCTGGCAACGAACAGGAAAATCTGGAAAATTCCACGCAATGTATAAGTCACAGTGAAGGTCTCGCTGCTCTCTAGTCTCTAAAGCGATTCGTGGAGCAATAGCCCAACGCAACTCTAGCCATCAATATGCTGACATGAAAAAATAGCAGTGTGTTTAAACAGAAAAAAAACATTCGACAATTATTAAAGTACAATTAAGATGATGCAGTAACACAACAAATAATGTAACTTTTCGTAAAGCAAGAAATGCAGATCCTCTAATGTAAGTCAATTTTCTTTAAACCTAATACATTATTGAATTAAATACTAAAATTTACAAATTACTCTGTTACAATTATTTTAAAGTACAATTAAAATAATGCAGTAATACAAAAAAATAATGTAACTTTTGTGAAGCAGTAAATACACCCTGATCCTCTAATGTAAGTACATTTTCTTTAAATATAAAACATTTTTCAATTAAATACTGAAATTTGCAAATTACTCTGTTTCCATTTAATAAGATATTTACTAAATTTTATGCTTATGCTAATTTGAGCTTTTGCAAGATCAAGGTAGGCTCGGTCTCGTCCGGTCAAGACTATTCTGTAATTACAAACAAGAAGAAAAAAACATATATACCATATATTTTGGTTGTTACCAAAGATATATTGTACTCACTCTTTTTACCACTAGCATCTATACAACTTTTACGCATCACATAACCTTTTTTATATTCAGTAGCACAGGTTGGGTTTGGAACCTAAAAAGGTATAAATGAGAAAAGCATTAAAAAAACTAGTAAATATTCCTAAATCAATAATTCATCATTCCAAGAACAAAAACTGAGCAACATAACAATGGTACCCATAGACTATTAAAGTAACTTGTAGATATTTTCTATTTTATTTATTTTAAAATGACGTAGATATCTTAGATATCTCATTTTAAATATACAAATTGAATTCTAGCAAATGATTTTCAAGTGTAGATACAATTTAGCTTTCAGTTTATATTGCAAGAAATTTTTCTGAGTATTTCGTATGTCTACCTCAAATTTATAAAAGAAAATTTAGCATTTGCAATACTGAACCACATGTGCTTTTAGTAATAACAAGCATCACTGATGATTTAAATTTTGGGATGTTCATGATGCTGCCTCTTCGTATAGAAAACTCTGCAATTGGGAAAATGATGAAAACGAAAACTTTTAAAGAATATAATGACTTAAAATTTGATTATAAGAAAGAGGAAGGAAAAATTAGTTGAAATAACTTAAATTTCAAATTGTACACTTATTGTTATTAGAATAGAGTACATTACTTTCAGAAATTTAATGGCAACTAAAAATAAAGGAAACAGCTATCCATAAAACTGCTAAGCAACATTACTATTGGTATTTTCATAATATGCTTTAATATCACCTAAGTCAGAAACTTTTAAAACACATAAGGCAAAAAACACCCATAAAAATGTATAAAAAAGAATACAAACCAAATACATAACAAAAGATTATATATTTCTTGTATTATTATCCTTAATTATATTTTATTAATCATATTATATTAACTGCAATTTATTAATTATATTATATTGATTATAATTTATATGAAGTAATCAATTATATTAATTATAATATATTTTTTATAATTCTTTTACACTAATAAAAAAAAGAAACAAATACATATATAAAATAAAAAATACAAACAAAATAATAAAACAGATAATAAAAAATAATCATCTGACCCATGCTAATAGATTTAAGCCAAATTGATACATTAATTTATGTGTTATTTATTAAATTGAATTTTTTTTTTTAATTCATTAACTATTTTTCCATGCATTCAAATTTATAAGAAGTATTAAACATCATATATATATATAAAGATTAAAATATTTTTATTTCAGGAATGTCCAAGATTCTCTTTTTTTTATTATTATTACTACATTCTTTTTTACAAGGACTTTAAAAATGTGTTTTAAGGGGAAAATAAAAAGATAATATAATTTTAAATAAACAAAACTTTTAAATTTTTAATGAAACTTATTTATCACTATTTTTTAAATCTATTCAACACTTAATATAATAATTTCATAAAAAACATTTAGCAAAAGCAGATATAGCAAAAAAATAAAATACAAAGCAGATATAGCAACAAAAAAAAATATAAAACAAAAAATTTGTTCATAAAAATGTTCATATTTGCATAAATATTTAAGCTACATAAATGAAATTTTATGCAGTCATTATAAATAAGAATCTAAGTAATCGGTACAAATTACAAGCTTATTACTTGATTTTCTGGCAAAAGGGTGTTCAAAAATACTTCCTTTCTTTTTAATTTATTGACGGTCCCTCAAACCTCTGGAAGCTTTAAATTTTATTGCAAAGTATGAAAAATTGATCAAACACTTGTATAATTACAAAATAATCCTCTTAGCATATCTTGACAAAAATTTTAAACAAATATCAAAAACTGAGTCTCTTCCATTATTGCAGAGCAGTGTATATCTCCAGCTATTTCTTTGACAGATAAATATATATATATATTTATAGAAAACTACTGAAGATCATGATAATTAAAATGAATAAAAAATAGTAAAATTATAAAATCCAGGCATTTTCAAAGAAATCCTTAAATTATTATGTGAAGTAGACTTATGAAGTTCATCTCATAAATGATTTGTTTATTTGCATATAAATCTCAATGCATTTATAAAAAATACACTGTGTTGTAAACTTAATATGCCATTTAAAGCAACATTTTGATGTGTATAAAATGAGCAATTCCCAATATTTAAATATATTGTAGCTCACAATAAAATTGCCATAAATTAACTATTAATTACAACTCATATTGAATTTATTTTATTAAAACAAATTCAGTCATTTAATCCTATTTAAAAACAAATAACTGAATAATGCTTAAGCAAAAGTATACAAAAATAGAAAATGATATGCAAATTTTGTCAATATTAGATAAACAAAACTAAAATGAGTGGAAAAAGAGAAATTTTTTTAAAATAAACTAAATTTTATCAATTAATTGTTTGTGGCTCCTATATATACTTTTTTTCATTTGTTGTTTTTCCTTTCATAATTCAATGAGTAAGTTGTGTATTGAGAACAAATATTTATAAAAACTTGCTTAAATGTAAAAAATTCAGTAGGTTAGAAATAATGTAAACAAATGAAACAATTTATAATAACATTTCAAATGCTCACTAATAATACAAATGCAGTGCAAAATTTTAAAAATCAAACTATGATCAATGAAGAAAAAAAAAGTTTGTACTTCTAAAAACGGATTATGACAAACAAAGCTCTGTCTATAGTCATTTGATGAGTTTTTTACTTTCGACGAGATTTTCTTGTCATCTTCCTCATCCCTACAAAGAAATGTAATCAAATTATAAAATCAGCATTATGTCAATATATTGCTAAAACAAATGAAAAAATTCATCATCCTATAAAAAACTAAGAAACATTTAAAATAATAAATAAAAAAACTTGAAAGTTAGAAAAAACAATATTTATATAAAATTTATCAGACATGTGATTTCTGTAAGAAGAAATTATCTGAATTTTTTTTCTCAATGTACTTTTTCCCCCATCGTTTTGTGCATTGTTGTAGTATTTACACAAATGAATATGTATATTGAAAAAAATTACATATTCTTCCTATTTCGCACTTATCAAGTCGTCATCGCATCAAAACAACAAGATTTTAAAAACTTTGCAATAACCGAAAGAAAAAAAATTTATTTAAACCAAGAGTATTTATAACGAAATCGCACAAATCAGACACGTCAAAAAGGGATCAATTTAATGTTCGTTTCCAGATACTTGCGGTATAATAAATAATATCTTATTAAAAAACATTGATATTTTAAAAAATATGCAAAAATAAGTATATAGTGATAACTGCCGAATAATTGATAGAAAAAGGGTGGAATTATCGCGTCAAATAGTGAGTACTCTAAAGTGCGCGATTTTAATTTCCCGAATCATAATACTATCAGGATGTGAAAATCGACAGCATTAGCTGTAAAAAAAAAACTATAAAAAAGGCGAATGGATTTAGTCCAAATCGATCCCATCAAAAAGTAATCACTCAAATGTGCGAATCGAATCACTCGCTTATTAATAATATCGTATCAAAATATCAGAAGTTAAAAAACCACGAGAATGTCAATAACAATAAATGTGAAAATATGCATCGAAAAAACAGTGGTAGCGTTGTATCAAAAAATTACTTATAAATGTACAGATTGAATTGTTATATTAATGTATATACAGGGATCTTTTTTAAAAATAGAGAAATATGTAGCATTTATAGCCGATAAAACGATTGAATCATTGCATGGATGCTATGATATGAAATTATATGAGCTCTGATATGAGATTCGCGGAATTCCGGGAATTAGTGGAAGAATCACATGCCTGATTCATTTAATGCTTATTTACATGCTGCCTCATTATCACATGCCCAATTTAAGTATGAATCACGTTACTGATTAAAATGGTAGGATTTTATACACAAATTATTTTACTTCATTGATAGTTAAAATTTGAAATAGAATGAAGAATAAAAACAAAAGAAAATTCAATATTTTTTACCAAAGTCGTTTATGCACAAAAGTAATTAGCGGAAATGAAATGAAAAATTTATTTTAAAACTTGCTGCAAAATTTTGTTTTTGTAACACAGTTGAATAACTTAGATGCAAAATTTGTTGCTACACAAATGAAATAAAGGAAGGACGTGATGAAATTGGAAAACTAAGAATTAGCTAATTAAAATTTAAATAATAAGCATTTGAAAACTGAAAAAAAAAAAACAGTATTAAAGCTGATCAAAGCAAAAAATGTGAATAAAGCACACAAAATACAGAGACTTATTATAGTTTCAGTTCTCTAAACATGAACCTTTCTCAGTGTCTAAACATCAAAAAAAAATTCTTTTTCTTTTAGGTGTTCAGCTATTGAGGAAAGTTCTTGTTTAGAAAACCAGATCTATAGAAAGTCTATTCTGTACTTTATTTGTGCTTTATTCACATTGTTTTTTGCTATAATGTATTCTGAAGTAAATTCTTTTTAAAGAGAATTATTTATTTCTTAAAATAAATAATACTAAATTATAATTTTAAATAATTTTAATTTAGTCCATACTCGAAAGTTAATGTTTTAACAAATTATAAAATCTAAAATAATCCGCAGAAGATGCGTTTTAATACATATATAAGCAATGCAAGTACTAAAAATATTTATGTTCGGTTTAAACCATTAAAAAAAATCATATAAAAAAATACATCAAGGAATTACGTAATATGAAATTACTTACAAAGCCCATTCAAGTGGATGTGTTTTAATTGAATGGTACAAAGTTTTCAAAACATCTCTAGGATAATTTTCCCCATCATTGAGTTCTGCTAGATTTTCAATAAACTCTCCACATACCATTTTATGCCGTATATTCTGAATAAAGAAATTGTTATTGTAATTGAAATATATTGGAAATAAAATAGATTTAAATTTAGTAAAAAATTAAAGTATTAGGAAATTTACAACTGTTTGCAATATTTTTAACTTAATTTCAAAATTTACAAGATTTAAAGGCAAATGAAATTACTAAAGGAAAACTAAACTAATTAATCTAAATTAATTAATTAAAGGTAATCTAAATTTATTAAAAAAAAGGTAATATATTAAATCTAAAATTTAATACTAGTTTTTAACTGCAAAATTTGGACAAAAATTTTTTAGAGATAAAATGCTTTGTTGCTGAAACCCTTTTAAGCCATTTCGATTTAATAATTCTCGCTTAAAGAACAATGAAGAAAAAGAGTGTGCCAGAATTAATAATGGAATTAGGCATAGCTGCCAACATGGATAAGAAAAACTATAGTAGATTTTAAGAAATAATATAAATTTCCTAATAATTGTTACATAATGAACTAAATATTTTACACAAAGGGAATTTTAGGGATTTTTATAGTAATCAAAATAGAGAAACTGAAATATTTTCCAGTATGATTGACATTAAATGAACTTGAAATGTTATGTGCTATATTTACTCATAATTTTGAATAGTAATATGCATTTAATACATCAAAGATAGTTAAAAAAATATTAATTTAAAAAGGGAGCTCTGGATAAAAATAAACAAAACATTTTAGAACAAAAAAAGTTTTTAACTAATTTCTATAAATGAGACTCGCTTCATTATGAATTAGTAATACATATTTAAATCTTCAAGCAAGCAATAATCTACGTAAAAATGCTATTTCAATATGGATTTTTTTAGGAAACTTGCTCAATTTCAATCAGAGTTTTCTAAAATGTACAAAAACCAGGTGAATTTTTATTAAACCAGTAGACCAGTAGAAACAGGCAAAATCCAGTAATCTACTGGAAAATCCAATAGAGTTGGTTTGGTATCTATGATTAGGGTAATAGGTTTTTGCAATGATATCATATTGTGAAGAAGTGTTAGAATTATTAATTTTACAATTAATGTTAAAAAATGAAATATTCTTAAGTCCAGGATTTAAAATGATAAAAAAGACTTTTTATAGGACATCTAAGGGCAAAATAATGAAAATTAAAAAATGAAGTATAATCAGTACTGAAATGAAAAACTAGTTTTCATATATTTTGGTAAAAAAAAAAGTTAATGTTTTGGTAATTAAAATAAAAATTTTTTCAACATAATTGATTGACTTTAAAAATGTATTATTTATATGTCATTCTGCACAACTTGGAATTAATTTTGTATAAGGAAATTCTAACATTGTCAATGTTGTGATAAACCTTAGAAAAATCCTGTCAGCTTACGAAGAAGTTAATTAAGCATTAGAAATTTAAATGGANTTATGGTTGATATTAAATGAACTTGAAATGTTATGTGTTATGTTTAGTCAATTTCAATAAACTCTCCACATACCATTTTATGTCATATATTCTGAATAAAGAAATTGTTATTGTAATTGAAATATATTGGAAATAAAATAGATTTAAATTTAGTGAAAAATTAAAGTATTACGAAATTTACAACTGTTTGCAATATTATTAACATAATTTCAAAATTTACAAGATTTAAAGCTAAATAAAATTATTAAAGGTAATCTAAATTTAGTAAAAAAAAAGGTAATATATTAAATATTTGATTAATAATATGCATTAAATACATCAAAGATAGTTAAAAAAAAATAATTTAAAAAGGGAGCTCTGGATAAAAATAAACAGAACATTTTAGAACAAAAAAAGTTTTTAACTAATTTCTATAAATGAGACTCGCTACATTATGTATTAGTATATTTAAATCTTCAAGCAAGCAATAATCTGTGTAAAAAATGCTATTTCAATATAGATTTTTTCAGGAAACTTACTCAATTTTAAGGAATTTTCTAAAATGTACAAAAACCAAGAGAATTTTCATTAAACCAGTAGAAACAGGCAAAATCCAATAGTCTACTGGAAAATCCAATAGAGTTGATAGCTATGATTAGGGTAATAGGTTTTTGCAATGATATATTGTGAAGAAGTGGTAGAATTATTAATTTTGCAATTAATGCTAAAAAATGAAATATTCATTCCAGGATTAAAAATGGTATACAAAGACTTTTTACAGGACATTTAAGGAGAAAATAATGAAAATTAAAAAATGAAGTGTAATCAGCACTCAAATTAAACACTAGTTTTAATAGTTTTAATATATTTTGGTAAAAAAAGTAAATGTTTTGGTAATTAAAATTAAATGTTTTTTCAACATAATTGATTAACTTTAAAAAATGTACTATTTACATGTCATTTTGCATAACTTGGAAATAATTTTGTATAAGGAAATTGTAATATTGTCAATGTTGTGATAAACTTTAGAAAAATGCTGACAGATTACAAAGAAGTTAATTAAGCATTAGAAATTTAAATGGAAATTTTTTTTATAAATTTTAGTAGTCAAAACAGCACAGACATATTGATTGTATTTAATAATCGATGATTAAAAGTTTAAGATCTCAAAATTTTTTTTTAAAAAAATAATACTAATTATTATTATAAAATAACCAAAACAGTTCATGATATAAATAAATAAATGCTTAAAAAAGGAAACAGGTCTCATATTTTTCAGTCCATAAGATAGTTTATATTTCTAATTTTAATATTGCATAGATTTATTTTTAAATCAACATAAATGCTAAATTGTATTACATATGAAAAATAGAATATTTATTTTGCTGGCATAAAGTTAGGATTTAAAAAATAAAAATTTATTGTTGTAAATAATATTAAAAAAATATTTACTTGAAAAATGCCTTAAAGTGAATACTTTACATAATAATAAAAAAAAACTTTAAAGTAGATTAACATTGTAAAAAAAAATCCAAAGAATAGATCTCGTATGTTTGATACAAGCATATAATTTCATTGAATGAGTAAAATTTAATATCAATCCAATGAATTTTTTATAATTAATAGTTTGAAGACACATGTCTGATCACATGTCCTAATTAACAGAATTTACCACATGTCGTGAACAGAGTTTAATAAATGCATATGGGAGTATGTTTATTTTTTCTTTCTTTGCATAGATCAAACAAGCAATTGGGATCCAGATTTAGGACATAAAAATAAAGAATTGTCATTAAAACAGAAAGTACAACAATTTTCGCACTCTATTTCATTTGTTCCACCATAAAAAAAAAATTTAAAAAATACGAAATAAATATTTAAACAATGGAGTATTTATTATAAACTAAGCAAAACAAATTAGGTTAGAGAAGATTAAAAAAATAGCCGCATTCAAAAATTTCACTGATTAAAGAAATAAATATAAAGAATATTTAAGTCACACATAAAATACTGACTAAGAAGTTTTTTTTTTATACCTCTCCATGTAAGTCTGAGTTCAATAACATTAAAGCACAAGTCAAAGTATGAACAGCATCTATAAAGAAAAACGTAAATTTGTTAATAGAAATACATCACAATGAAAAAATATTTTAAAACAAATCAAAATTTACCACTATACATTTACGTTAGATTAAAAATGTAAAAGATTTTCCAGAAAAAAATTCTCAGTATAAAATAAGAAATTTTAAATAAAAAACCTTTTCAGTAAAAATTAAGATTTCAATTAATGTAAACTACTAACAATACAAATATTGTCCAAAAAATGACACAAAAAATCCTCCACCGTGTCAGTAACTTAATAAACAGGGACTAGAAATTCAAACAATTCTCCATCAGGGTATCCACAAACACTCAGAAATTTTATTCCCAGACTTTTCAGACTGAGTTTATCAAATTTCCATTTTTGAAGCTGTTGGCAGAACTGTTGTGCTAATTTTCCAGTTATGTATTTAAATTAAATAATGCAATATACTTATGAGTGTCAATTGAGTGGAAAATAAGAAGTTGTTGTTTAAAAAAATTACTGCAAGACCAATTGTATTGAAACAATGATCAGACATCTAGATATCTCAAATTTAAATTAATTAATTTTACACTGATTTGAGATATTTTAGTTAAATTCCCTGATTTTTTTTCAGATAGATAAAAATCACTGACTCTACCCTGTTATGTGGCCTCACTGCTCATAAGTGACCAAAAAAAAGCCGTTTTAACAGATTCTGGCTAATGCAATTTAAAATAATAAAAGAACGTCATCCTGCTTGTTTTCTTTTTTAAAAAATGAATTTAGAGATCAAAAAAGCAGTTACAAATATCATGCTGAGATCTGATGTACACCATTTACAGCTGTACAATGGATAGTATGTTAATAGGATAATATGTTAATCAAATTCCTTTTTATGGAATTTGATTAACATATAATTAACATAACATTACAAATTAATAAGGAAATAATTTTCATTTGTGCTTGTTTCTTTTTTTATACTAAAAAAAGAAAAATATATCATTTAAAATTATTCAAGGGAAAAGAAATGAGTCACAAATTTATTTATTTCCTGAAATATGCATATTAAAATCAGCATTTTCTTTGACTGTTAGTTGAATGAAAGGAAAATTGTATAATTAATTCTGCACATACTCAAGTTTGAAAATTTTTCCAGATATACACTTTGCAAAGTAATATTGGAAATTTATTTTTTGATGCATTGTAATGTAACATATTACTTACATTTTATACATGATTTAAATTTTTGTTTTTTTTAATGCAATTGTGACTTTTTTGCAGCAACGTGATGAAACAAATCATGTCTTTTTTCTGGGATGATGTTTGCCTTTCAATACAGAAAGATAATACTTAATATGTAGAGACATAAAAAACAATTCACTAGTATATAAGACATGTCAACTTGATTCCATCTTGAGGTACCTTTTTGATAGATGAAGGCTGACATAGTCATTACTCCCTTCAACATATTTCCTAACATTTAAAAACAAAATAATTATCTTATTTAATCCTTTTTCAATAAATACAAATCATAAATATAATCTGTAATATTTTTATTCCAAAACCTTGCATTGATTGCAGAATAAAATCTATTTTCAGAAATTCCCTTTACATCTGCCTAAAACATTAGTATAAAATTCAAAAACGGTTATATGGTCATTAATGTTTAGAACTCATTAAAATTTATTGATATTTTTCAAGCTTTCTTTTCCTCCTACACATTTGCATATGTAAGGCTAAAAAAAAGAGCCTTGGTAATAGATTAAATCAATTAATAGCCAATACATGAATTACGTAACTTTCATTGGCGGAAACTATGTTAACGCACACATGCCACTTGCATTTTTTGATTTCTTGATGGTCTTGTGGGGCTTAGCCCAGCAACCTTACTCACCGGGCAGCTTTCAAAATTTATTATTTGATTAATTTATGTGTTCAATATTAATTTATATGTTCAGAACGCAAAAAAAATAAATAAATGGACCACCCTTAATAACTATTTAATAAAAAGATCGGATCTTCAGGTTCTAGGACTCAATCTTAATGGTTCAATGTCAAATATGCTAAATCATCATTATATAAAATATCATCTGAAATATGCTCATCAATAAGAGCAAACAATAATTTAAGTTATAATATCAGGCACAAAACGCACTTTTTCTAAATAAACATAACTTCTTTTCATCAGATTCAGATTTTTGACCCCAAAATATCGGGGATAGTCTCAATCTGGAAAATATTGTCCTGATAGTTTCGTCAGAAGAGGGGTCCGAATTCTGGAAATGTTAATTTAATTTTTTGCGTATTTCGCTATATCTCGAAAAATTTTTAAGTGCGTTGAAAGTTTTTTGTACACAATTATAGAATTCGTTAGTCCAAAAATAATTCCTAGCAAAAAATATAATTTAGTAAATATTTAATATTTTATTTAGCAATAATAGAAAAAAATTAAATTGTAAGGTATACAATTTTTTACATCATTTTTAAGTAAGTAATTTTAAATGGAAAAATACAAAATTCGACCGAAATCGGTTGAATAGTTCTCGAGAAATCAAATTTCATCTATACCACTTTTTTAAAATTCAATTTCTCAGGAACTATTCGACCAATTTCGCTCACATTTAGTATTTTGCCATGTAAAATTACAAACTTAAATATGATCCAAAAAAACTTTATACCCTACAATTACATTTTTTTTCGATTATGATTAATTAAAATAATAAATATTTAAAAAAAATTTTTTTTTTGCATGGAATTACCTTTGGAAAAACGAATTTTATAATTGTGAGCAAAACACTTCAAATTCGCTTAAAATGTTTTCGAGATATAGCGCAAAAATACAAATTAACATTTAGGGATCCAAACTATTGGGACCATATTTTTATTCAGAGAAAGTACGTTTTTGTGTACATGGTCCATGACCCATTTTTTCCATGGAATTATGTTTGGATAAAAGAATTTTAAAACTGTGTGCAAAATTTTTTCAATTAGCTCAAAAAGTTCTGGAGACATGGCGAAATACACAAAAAGTAAAATTAACATTAAGGGGTCCAAACTTTAAGTCACTTTCCTGACCAAACTATAGGGACCATATTTCCCAGATTGCGGTTACCCCCAATAGTAGGTACATTTTTGCGTCTGATTTCGTAACTTAAAATATCGTCTGCACTAATTAATTAGCATATTTGAAATAATCTCTTTAAACCATTAAGATTGAGTCCTAGAACGTGAAGATCTTGATCTTTAGATCAAAAATTATTCAGGGTAGCCCGTTTTTTTATTCTATTTATTTTTTTAGCACATTATACAATTAATTTATATGTACTTTTTACTTTGGAGCTCCACATGTTTTCCAAAATAAAACTTTTTTTTTTTTTAATGTTTATCAAATCTGATTCTTGGAATATGGACATTTCAAAATAAATTATCTGACTTCTTCAACGGAATTAAACACAATCATTGAATCTTTTCTACAGATAGTAATTCCAACATCATTTTCAACAAAACTCCTTGATAAGGTTGATGCTATGCATTTTTTCACATTGAGAAAAAAATTGCATTCTACTTTATGTCGAACTATAGATGTGTATCAATATTCAATATACAAAACCATTTTTTTAAGAACATCACTCATTTCATAAATAAAAATCTTCTAAATTCAAGAAGAAAAGGAAAAATAAATAATTTCAATTATTAAGAAGTGAGACAATAATAAAATCAAAGTTAAATCTGAAACAAAATTTACAAACCTTGTGATTTAAATGAGTTGGGGTTGCAATCCAAATACCGTTTAGAGAAGTGGACAAGTACTCTTTCACGTTCTTGTGTTTCCCCAACTAAACAAAACTGATTTAGAAATTTTCTTAATGCAATATCTAAGCCATCTTTGGTGAAGTCAAAGAATTTCAAGTATTCTTCTGCAACAGCCTTACTGAACTCATTGCTGCAACAAGATAAGAGTAATTTCAAATATTAATATTTAAATATTCTGTATTAAAAATGCATTCACAACTTTATCGTTCAGCTTATGCTAGCTAATTGAGTAATTAATAAGAAAAGGCAGGCGACTTGAGAATATTAAATATTTAAGTGATGCATAAATTTCAAAGCATAAATTACAACTCATAGGTAAAAATATAAATTTTCTTTAATATTTTTTTAATCTAAAACTTGTCTAATACTTAAATTTATTGAATTCTTTTAGTCTTAGTATAACATAGAATTGCTATTTTAAGGATAAACAAAATAAACTTTTAAGATCTATAGATAAAATAAAGAATAATTTTATTTTTTAAAAGAAATGTTTTTTGTCTAACTACATATAAAACTAGAATTCTCATTAGATTTATTTAAAAACTATAACTCAATAAAAATTATTTTATTTCATTTAGGTGCATACCGTTTTAAAAATTAACGTATCATTTTTTTAAGAAGCTGGTTGAATAAAAGATAGATTCTTGATTTTATCGAAATTTTCAAGAATATGTTCTTTATGCAAAAATTATTGGACGCACATAATTTGATTTTATTTTAACAAAAAAATGATGGAAGATCAAACTAGAATTCTCATTAGATTCATTTAAAAACTATAACTTATTAAAAATAATTTTATTTCAATTAGGTGTATACCTTTTTAAAAATTAACGAAGCATTGTTTTAAGAATCTGGCATGGTTAAATAAAAGAGATTCTTGATTTTATTGAAATTTTCAAGAATATGCTCTTTATGCAAAAATTATTAGACGCACATAGTTTGATTTTATTTTAACAAAAAAAAAAGATGGAAGATCAAAACTGAAGGTCACCAGGTATTGATTCAAATACAGCTACATTTTGCTTTACACATAGCAATACTTTTTTGTGCCAAAAGTATATTTTGTGTTCCACAATTTGCACGCTAACTATTAGGGCATAAATACATTTTTTTCCCAATGCCCACCCGATTGACAGGTTTGATGGCCACTCTTTCAGAGGCACCACATTAGGTGGACAAACATTGCTCCCACAGTAAGGATAGATATTACAGAGAATGAAAGAATATCCATGCCTTGTCTGGGATTCGATCCCAGGATCTTCCTGATGTGTGGTCAGTTCCCTTACCACCACACAGTTCGGTAATCAGGGCAATAGTTGAAACAAGAGCAAATCCATGGTGACTGACGTTGCATTTTGATATGTTTTCTTATTTGTAAACTTTTTTTTTTCATTGATAAATATTTAGCATTTTTTAATCATATAGAATGTTTTTCAATAGCCTAATATTATTATGCATGTAAGAAAAAGAGACTAATATTATAGATGTTTTACTTAAAATAAAAATATAAAATGTTACTAACATTACATAGAAGGGACACAGATTAAAACATATTTTATTTCAAATTCTCCTTTTTCAATAAATAATAAGATTATTTTTTTAAAATCTGCTTAAAAAAAACATCAAATTAATAGTAGCATACATGAAATGACAAATAGAAATAAACAAATAGAGAAAAAGCTCTTGTGACTGATGTTTCAAACACAAACTATATAAAATTTTAATAAACATTTTTTACTATCATTACAAAATAATCAAAAGCTATAATTTTTGGCTTTTATATCTAAAATAGTTAATAAAAAAACTGAAAAATTATTTTATAGAGAGAAGCTATTAAATTTTTATATTAATTTATTATTTATTTATTGTATCACGAAATTTCCTTAAAGGTCTTTCAAAATTTAATGAAAGGTTTCTTCTGGTATTTTTACCATCAAAAATGGCAGTAATAAAATTAATTCTCAGATCTTAAGCACTGTACAAATATTTAACTTTGACATTATGAAAAACTAATTCATTCAAATTTTAAGGCAACTCCCCAAAAGCTGGAAATTGTTTTAAAAGTTGAAATTAAAAGTAGAAAAAGAAAATCTTTTTTCATTATGAAAAGTATGTTAACATTAAATAGAATACTGTGCCAGATTAAAATCTACTAGATAATGTATTTAAAAAGACAAAATAGTTTACTTTTTTGAAAGATGCCTTGACACATCTGTTTTCTTAAATCCATCTAAGCTGTATAGTCTCTTCGCTAATCGAATAGCAGAAGGTAGATCCACAGCCTTTGGACTATAATGAAAACTGTGCAAACTTTCGATGTCTGATTCATCATCAGTTGGTGGAGATTCGCTTCGTTTCGTTGAAGGCTCAATTACATCATCAGCTTCAAAAGCAGATGATATTTCATCATAACTCTCAGTCAACTCATGATATGAGAGATCTGCAAATGTACCTTCTGATCCAGGAGATGTGGGACTATCACTTAAGTCAAGCTTTTCTTCTTGCACTTTTGGCACTGAAAGTGAGCTACTGAAAGAAGTTGGCGACTTGTCAGATGAAAAAATTGAAGTAGGTGGCTGTAACTTGTTTTTCTCAGAATAATTGCACGTTAAATTGAGCTCTATATTAGATAGTACTTGTTTATTAGTTTTGTGCAATCCTTTGCCTTTGTTAGTTATGTCCTGAAACACATCCAAGCCATTTTCTTTTTTATCAGCCTCAATCCAACCATCATCTAGATGTATATCTTCGGGTGATAAGCTTTCTACGGGAGACCCTAAATCCGAATCTGTTGCTTTTGATAAATCTGTAACATCATCCAAACTGCTAATTGCAGATATCTGTTCACTAGTGCATTCACCATCACCACTATCTTCACTATCTCCGCGAATGGTAACTGACGAGTCAGATGGAATAATTTCAGAACCAGATGATTCACTCAAAGAATCAGCAGGATGATGTCTGGAAGATTTATTTTCCCCTACCTTAACACTAGCCTTAGAACCTGTTCTATCACTTGAACTTCCTGATAAATCACTTTTTCTAGAATTTTGTTGCTCATCAGAATTCCTAGATCCAAGCGACACGTCACCAGGACAAGAATTACCTAAGCATTCATCTTTATCTAACTCAATAAATTCATCGGCTTTGGTATCTAATAATGTATCAAGTGATGATGCCAGCTCATCCTCAATATCAATATTGACGGTGGTTAACGATGATTTTTGAAGATGATCTTCACTTTTTGAAGTTCTTACAAAACTAGTGGAATAACTAAAAGGCAGTTTCTTCTCAATAGTAGGACTATGAAAAGAAGGCAACTCTTTCTTCACTTGTTTGTTTCTAACTCTCTCTGTTTCTTCAGGGCTGGCAGGAGTTGATCGACAACTTGAGGCAAAAAACTCCAGCTGATTTGTTTTTGTACCAACTTTCGAAGTTTGAGTTGACTCAGAGTTTAAACTAATGTACAGTTCATTCGGCATATTGTAAGGATTTTTACCAGTGTGAGTTCTTTTATTGCAATATAAATCCTCACTATATTCGATGTTATGACATTGACTGTTGCTGTCACATGGTACAGAGTATCGGGAACATCTTTTTGATTCATCATTTAATTTATCTAATGTGTCAGAGTTTGATTTCACATTACTACCTTTTATAATAACATGACTATCACATCGTTCCATGACCTGCAAAAAATTAAATTAAATGCAGATCAATTGCACCTCACAGGCCTTAAAAACTTTTCTGTACCACATTTAATGTTAGTAACAAAAACTTTAACCAATGTCATCTGTATCTGATAAACTTTCAAAAAGTTTCATTGCAACTTCAAAGTAGTTTCCATGTCTTACAAAGGATACCTGTAAATGTAAGAAAACCTTGTATAAATTAAATATAAAAAAAAATAACGATTTTTAAGCAAAATATATGTATTCATAATAAAAGGATGTAAAGAAAGAAATAACAAAGATCATAATAAAAGGAGTCAAAATAAAATAAAATATATAAAATTGCCTCAAGTCTCATATCTAAACAAATTCAGGCAATTTTTTGCACACTTTTCAAAAAATATTTAAAATGATGTTTTTCGTACCTGAGTATTGATAAATTAAGTGTAAAAAGGAATTTGCTTGGTAATATGGTTTTCTTGACACTCTACAAAAATTGCAGCTAATTTTCAAAACATTAAGGTTCAAACTGTCACTGTACTAAGCATGAAAATGCACTAAAGTTATTCATCGAACTTTCAGTTTTATTCTATTTTACTGTACTAAAAAAAGTTAATTGTCATGAAAAAGCAAATTAAATTTCTTAATTACACTTACAATGTTAAATGGTTTGGAAAATTCACAGTGAAAAAAAAATAGGTATGATAAAAAATGCAAAACGAATAAAGGAAAATCTTTATTATAAGTGTAGTAACCTAATGATACATTAAATATAATCGTTTTTGAAATGAGAACCATGTATTTGAAAGTTAAAAATAATTTATTGTTAAAATATGTACACTCATTCATTGCAAATTGAAGAGACACTATTTCCAAAAGGACATTATTATTACTTTATACCTCAATAAGCACTCATTTAATTTTCTGCTCTAGCGCAAGTCGTGCATTTTATTTGTAAATAAAAAAGGAAACTAAATTTGATAGATATCTGACAACTATAATAAGGTTGAACTTAGACATGATATTTGCAAGAATGGTTGCGGCTTTGCATGATTCTAGTTATTAAATTTACGAAGATGCAATTTTCGATACGTTAATTTTTTTTAAATTTATTTTATACTTTAACAACAAATAATAAAATGAAGTTTCTTTAACATTTCACGGTAAAAATACTCTGAAAATTTTTTTTTTTAATATACTTGATTTGTTTTTCCACGAATGCGATATATAAAAAATCTTCTCAAGTCGCGGAACAACTTATCAGAATAACCCTAAATTATCTCTGAAATTATGTATTGATGATATTTTAGATTTATAGCACTTAGGCAAGTTGTAGCAAAGTTTTGAATAAAGCTCATTAAGTTTAAAACAAAAATATATAAAAAAAATTAGAGACAATCAGTAAATTATGTGACAAAATTAATTTTCAGAAAAAAAAAGCAAAATACTGAGACAAGTTTGAATAAAGCTCGATGCACGGAGCAGGCATAACAGTAAAATGAAAATTTTAAGAATATAAATAAAACTGTAAGCATATGGTAATTATTCGAACAAGAAAACTTTACCATAGCTAAACCTCAATTTTCCATAATTCAGATTGTACTGCACCAGCTTCATTGATAACACCTGAAATAAAATTTTATATTCATTACTACAGCGTCANTTACAAAGGATACCTGTAAATGTAAGAAAACTTGGTATAAATTATATAAAAAAAAAAAAATAATAACGATTTTTAAGCAAAATATGTATTTATAATAAAAGGATGTAAGAAAGAAATAACAAAGATCATAATAAAAGGAGTCTAAAGAAAATAAAAAAATATAAAATTGCCTCAAGCCTTATATCTAAACATATTCAGACAATATTTTGCACCCTTTTCAAAAAATATTTAAAACGATATTTTTCGTACCATAGTATTGATCAATTAAGTGCAAAAAGGAATTTACACGGTAATATGGTTTTCTTGACACTCTACAAAAGTTGCAGCAAATTTTCAAAACATTAAGGTTCAAACTGTTACTATTATTTTAAAAGTGTGTATGAAAATGTATGCAAATGCACTAAAAGTTTGAAAATGCACTAAAGTTATTCATCGAACTTTAGTTTAATTTTATTTTACTCTACTAAAAAAAGTTGAAAGCAAATTAAATTTGTGAATTACACTTACAATGTTAAATGGTTTTGAAAATCCATAATGAAAAAAAAAAAAATTAGGTATGATAAAAAATGCAAAACGAATAAAGGAAAATCTTTATTATAAGTGTAGTAACTTAATGATACATTAAATATAATCGTTTTTGAAATGAGAACCATGTATTTGAAACTTAAAATAATTTATTGTTTAACAAAATGCATTAAAAATACTATATAGGGAAAAGTGGGATAAGAGCAGGTAGCTAAGATTTGAAGGTCAGTTGGAGCTAAACAATTCAACCTAGAAGCTAAACTATTCAACCTAATTAAGGTATTTATTGTTTAGTTGTTTACAATATATCATTCTTGAAAACACAGATGTACTACTTTTTTAATAAATGATTTTTTTTTCTAGAAAAAGTCAAATCACCCGATCGCTCCCTTCCCAGAGCCTTATAACTTTTATCACAGATTTAAACTTATCAAGTTTTAAAATTTTGCCTTGAAACCTTGTAGTTTATAAGCAAGGTTGTAACATGTTACTGAACTTTAAAAGCTTTCAATTTGTTTCAGAATTTATCAATACTAAGTCACTTCAAAATTCAAATTTCAGCTTCACATAAACTCACGGTTCAACTCAAAATAAGCTCATCCTACATATTAAATTTATAATTCGAGAAACTGAGTAGAAGTTTCGAATAAATGTATTAATGCTAAATTTAAACATAAAAAAAATGTTAATCTGCAATGTATGCTCAAAAATCCTTATCACATATATATTATATCATGAGCATTTTTTCTTTCTGTAATGGGAAATTACAATTAAAAAAAAGAGGGAAATCAAATGCTATGCAAGCTTAAAAAGACAAATCATAATCGTTTGTCATTCTCTATAATATGTATTAGAACAAGATAATATTCAGTGCTCTGTGTTGAATTTCTGATTGACAAAGTGTTCCGAGATAGAAAAAGTTCAAGAATTGCTACTTAGATTCTACTCTTTTTCAATGCTTCTATTTTTTGCCAATATACAACCATGTGTTTTTCAAAAATGATTTTGGTAGAGGGAAAAAAGCGTAAATTTTACTAAGTTAATAAGTAACTTCTAAATAATGATGTGTTTTTTTTTAAATTGTCAATTGCAATATTAATATTTTCTAACCATTATACAGTAAAAATATGCATATTCTTGTTGTTTTAATGCTGTTTCGAATAGATCAGGGCTGTCCAACTGGCGGCCCGCGGGCCGCATGTGGCCCGCCAACTTCTTTTTCAGTCTGATCGGCCTCAGTTCTCCCATTAAAATGTAAGCAAATTGTTTTATAATCCTTCTGTTCCATTGTTTAATAATTAATAATTCAACTATTAATTGTTATTGTATAAGAGGTAAGAGGGTATTGTTTAACTTTTTCAAACTGCGGCCTGCCAGGTGATCAGTGACCGGAATTCTGGCCCGTGGGCTCTTTGCAGTTGGACAGCCCTGGAATAGATCTTACCAACGAATGACTACAGCAAGATTACACTAACAAGTGTACACTAGTTTACCAGCAAGAGCTAACTCTTGGAACGGTAGTATAAATTTGTCCACCAGATCGTGCAGCGACTTGCCACTATTAGGCTTTTCGATATAAAAGGTCGATCTACAAGAGAGGACATCAACTGATTCTAAACCTTAAAGTTGAAATTATCCGGGTTATTAGTGAAACTGCAGATTTAACTTTGTCAGTAAGATAGAAACATTTTAACAGAAGAAAGATCTAATGTAAACTCATTTGTTGCAAATTAAAGAGACATTATTTTCAAAAGGACATTATTTTTACTTTATACCTCAATAAGCAGCCAATTATTTTTCTACTCTAGCGCAAGTTGCACATTTTATTTGTAAATAAAAAAGGAAACTAGATTTGATAGATGTTTATTAACTATAATAATGCTGAATTTAGAGATGATATTTGCAAGAATGGTTGCGACTTTGCACGATTCTAGTTATTAAATTTACAAAGATGCAATTTTTGATATTTTAATTTTCTTCAAATTTATTTTCTACTTTTACAACAAACTATAATATGAAGTTTCTTTAAAATTTTACGGTAAAAATATTGTGAAAAAAACTAGTTTTAATATACTTGGTTTGTATTTCCACAAATTAGATATATAAAAAATTCTTCTCAAATCGCGAAACAACTTATCAGAATAACCCTAAATTATCTCTGAAATTATGTATAGATGATATTTTAGGTTTATAGTACTAAAGCGGGCCGGGATAGCCTGATCGGTAGGGCGCTGGGCCCATGTCCGAGAGTTCGTGGGTTCGAACCCGGCCGGCCGAAGACTCCCCGTGTAGTAAAATGGTGACTGATGCACGTTAAATCTGTCGAGTCGTAAAGTCCTCCATGTTCCCATAACAAATCAATACTTCTGAGGGTACTGAATTGGAGATTGATCGTTCTCTGATTCAGGTCAAAATTACGATCTGTGGATGAATGAATGGATGTATGAATGGGTCACACCCTATAAACGGGTGTGACGGATAGGTGTGGCAGAAGTCGAATTCTTGGCCATAGATGGCGCCACTGGAAAACAAGAACCATCGCACCCCTCTGCCTTAACAGGTATACGCCAACAACAACATAGCACTAAAGGAAGGTTTTGAATAACGCCCATTAAGTTTAAAATAAAAATATATACCTGTAGAAAATTAGAGATAATCGTAAAATTATGTGACAAAAATAATTTTCAGAAAAAAAAGCAAAATACAGAGACAGGTTTGAATAAAGCTCGATGCTTGGAGCAGGCATAACAGTAAATGAAAATTTTAAGAATGTAAATAAAACTGCAAGCATATGTAATTATTCGAACAAGAAAACTTTACCATAGCTAAACCTCAATTTTCCATAATTCAGATTGTACTGCACCAGCTTCATTGATAACACCTGAAATAAAATTTTATATTCATTACTACAGCGTCGCTTCACAGAAAAAAAATCATAAAGCATAAAAATCAGTTTATTTCCATCTTACTAAAAAATGTATAAACACACAGTCCATAATGCATATTCATGATNACTCTCCAGGTCTATATCCCATGTATTATTGAGATTAAACTTAAGTTTGAAAGGTAAGATAAAAATATATATAAAAAATCTTTACTCGTCAAAAATACACTGTCAATGAAAAACTTTTATTGTGTGGAAATACTCTTCGCATTTGTCAAGGAATAATAAAAAGAATATGACAAGAATTCAAAAATCTTCGAAACATTATAAATGATTAATAGTGATAAAATTCGGCGCAAGTCAGAGAGAAAATATTATAAAATAATATTGAAGATACTTCATGAGAATAATAATAATAAATACTTTAAAAAAAGTATATTCAGCCTAAATCTATCTATTCATCAACATGCCTCGGGTATTAAAATGAGAGAAGAAGAATAACTTTTCATAATTAATGGTATCTCTTGAAAAACAACAGTATTGTATAGTTAAAATTATTTCCAAATTGGTTTAAGGGATAATTCGTCACTTAAAGGGAGGCACCAGCCAAAATTTCTTCGAAAAATAATAAATCAATGAATGAGAGATTTTGTAAAAGCTTATACAGGGTGCGTAGCCAAATCTTTCAATAAAAATAAGCACCTTTTAAGTACTTTTTAAGCACTCCAAAAATATTTTTAAGCACTATATACATTACCAAAATACAAAATAATTTCCATAGACTTAACAGAATCATGATAAAACAACCAGTTTCTGACAAAGAACTCTATTTCTTGATTATATTAGCCATTAAAAAATGATCGAGAGATTTTTCGGTTCGATTTCAGAGAGTGGAAAATGAAGCTTGAAATTGAGAATATTATGCAAGATGCAGCGGAGTTGCACATGCGGGCTTTGCTGCTTTCATACGCTATTGGACCGACGGTACGCAAAAATGGATTGTGCTTGAATGAATTGCGAAAACGTTGAATAGAACAATATGGAAACCACGCTTTTGCGTAATACGACATGGTAAAGGAAAAAAATCGCCTTTTCGAAAAGGGAAAATTGAGCACTTTTTAAAAACACCAAATAAGAAAAGCACCTTTAAGGCTTTTAAAAAACAAAAATCGAAAATAAGCACCTTTACGCACTTTTTAAAAACGCTACGCACCATGTTATAGTGTTTAATGTATCATGTGTTAAAGAGATTATCTTAACTTTATACTTTAGCAGAAGCTATCGTAACCAATACAGAATATATGAAAAAACAAAACTTTAATCTCATTTTTCAAGAAATCATTATTTCAATTAATTTAAAGATCTCAGAAACATGCCAATTTGGAAGGCAGCATAATTTAAATTTTTTAAATTTCAAATGTAATTTTCAAATGGCAATCTTATGGAAAGGAAGAGGAAGAAATCGGCTTATATCCTATTATTACATGATAATTTTGAAAAAACCAATTTATTTTATAAACCTTCCAAGAAATGTTAATATACAATTGAACTAAGGATTAATATCACAAATCATCCAAATTAAAAAGTAAATTTTAAATTTAAAATAAAAAGTTTACAAAAATATACATATAAGCAAAAACTTTCTTGTTTTGTTGAAAAAACTTTCCAATTGTTACTATAGAGACTGAATTAGAATGTATGTCACGAAATTTCAATTAAAATTATTTTCTTACAACACCCGTGAATTCTTAGCACGTCTTTGTCTAAAAGTCAAAGGAAATAGTCATCTAAAAAAAGTTAGTTTTATACTTGTGAAATAGTAACTTTACTCCAGACATCACAAAATTTTATTGCTGAAGACAAAGTAAATATACATCAAGTATTTAGCCCTCTGAAACCTTAAAAATCTAATTCATTCATGGATACTTCAATATGAACTCATTAAAAATTTTAATAGGTACTAAATATTAGCCACAAACTATATAATTTAAAAAAAAAATTTGCATCATAATTGCGGAGATGCACTAAGTACGGCCTCACAATGGTCAATATGGAGCCATTAGCCTTCCAATCAAAATTAACTGGAAAAGAAATTAGCATAAGAAATGTTATATCCTTTTAAAACGAATTTCAATAAACTTAAAAGGCAACGCTAAAATCATTACATTAAAATTCAAGGAGTGAAAATCGAAACAAATCAAAAATCGAAATGTCAGTAGACTTTCCAATTTTAAAAAAAAATATTATTTACTAGGAGGCTTCGCCCCCTGCTCGCTGGCGCTCGCCAACCCCCACAACTACTTTCGCAGTTCATTTCGGATTGCTTCGCAATCCGATGCTCGCTTTGCTCGCTCATTGGATACGTTCTTAACGTCTAGCTTTTGTATAATTTTTTGAACACTGAAGTTCCGAAAACTTTTCACTGTAGAAAATTTAATCCTGTGCATTTCAATATTAATTTGAAATTGCAAACAGTTCACATATTTTTCTTAATCACACTATTCTAAATTTCAGTTGTTGAGAACTGTTGTAAGTTTTGTTTTAAAGTCTTTCACATCAGAAGGCTAAAACCATGTGTTGTAAAACAATATGAAATAGTACTGAACGCCGGATGTAAAGCATCGGCTTCGATGAAGATAATTTTGTGAGAANAGGATATGTATGGGAGTTGCAATAGTTTGAATTTTTTAAAAATGCTATTGAAACAAATGAAAATCACATTAATATTTTGCAAACCTGTCTATTTTTGGGGTGGTGAAATCCAGGCAACAGATATGCAATTTTTAAAATGTTAAAAAAATTTTTATTTTATTTTTTATGATTGAATGGTAATCCTTTTCAAAATTCTTTACTATCTAAGTTTATTTTTCCGTTCCTATTTAAGGTGATCTCGTAGTTTAATTATTTTTTATATAGTTTGCAATTAACATACAGCCTCGTTAATTGCAGGAGCTGTTCTAATTACTTACAGTTATAGTTAAAGTTCTCTGTACGAAGTTTCAAATGTGTTGAACCATAGTAGTGTTCAAAATAGATGTAACCTTAGTTTTGAACTATTTAATTATGTAAATTAATTTTTGTTGCATTTGATAAGAATAAATTATGATTCGGTTCGAGCAATAACAAGGTTATATTTAACAATTATGCTGTGGTAAGTTGGCACGATATTATGGCCCTACAAACCGTTATTCATTTCTGCGCCATTATTCTTTTACCATCGTTTAAGTACAAAATAATGTACATCATATTCAAATTTCATGTCAATCGGATGATTTCTTGTAGAGTTATGACAAAAAACGCACTTGTTGCTTAAGTTTTGCACACCAGTGTAATTACTAAGTTTTCAAATCACCAAATCATACAAATTAAAGCGAAAATATTAAAGTAAAAAAAAAATCTAAATTTTTTTTAATCGTAAAAACTCTTTCATATTGGTGAATTTTATCTCGTTTTGTTTATAATCATGCTTTTGAGACCTATTTCTAAAAAATCTGAATGAAGAAAAGTTTGCAGTAATTGAAATTTAAAAAAAAAATTGAAATTTTGTACTAAATGACCAATGCATGGTAAAAATAGTTCGAATATAGTGATCTTGACTATAAAGTGCTGTCCGCGATCATTAGTCGATGACGGTTGTTAATATTTCTGGGTTAAATTAATTCGAGTTTATTTAATTTGTTTTTTTTTCTTTGAATTAGATCAAATTTAGTTAATTTTTCCTTTCATAAATTGAACTTCCAAAAACACATTTTGAGTTATCTAGTAAAATCATTAGAAAGAAATTTTAAAAAAAATATTATTTACAAATATTAAGTTTTTTAAATTTTTTAATTGTGTCGGTATGCATCAGTTGAATGCATGTTGTTAAGAGTTGTTGATTGTTAAAAGTTGTTAAGAGTTAATTGATGTGATTCATGTTGATTGTCATGTCATTCATGTTGATTGTTAAAAGTTAATTCATATCGATTCATTGATTACTTACTTTTTACAGAGAAAATAGATTTTCAAATGTTTAAGACAACATACAAAACTGAGTATATATGTAGTGTATATATATATAGCTAGATAGATATAATGGTGGCATTTAAATGTGAATTTAAAAGTGTGAGAAAGCATTTCGTTTTGAATAATAAATTAAGAATAGGATTTACAGAAAAGGATTAATTGAAGCTTTTTATGTTACGCACAATATATATATATATAAAGTGAAATATTCCTGTAAATATTCCCATAAAGTACTAAAATGGAATTTGGCACATTTTTGTTTCAATGGGACCCCATACGTTATCTGGAGATATTTCATTCCCACGTCCAACTTGATTTGCCTTAATACAATGATTCATCTAAAGGTCACAAGCATAAAAATAGTCTCAGAAAGAAAATTTCATATTCAATTTAGCTCAAGGTTAAGCAGACACTCAATTAGTACATAATTAAGGTCAATCAGGGACAAATTTTCTCTCATTAAAAGCAATCTCACCATCTTATTCTTACGAAATCCAATGAAGTAAGCGTTGATGCCTCAAACTGCAATGGCATTTTAATGGAACCCCTTTTTAACGATATTGAATGACTGGAGAACGATTACAAAATAATCTAAGGCTTAATACAAGAAAAATCTATTTCAAACTTTTTTCCTTTCCTCCAGGAAAAAACCTATTTCAAACTACTGAAATTGAATTCTTATACAGCTCCATAAAAAATTATTGCAATAAGTATATCCTATTTGCGCAAACCTGAAAATAACCACTCGCCACGTGGCGCATCAACAAAAAAAGTGGCGCCATTAAAATGCTAAATGTTACCTCTCATTGATCCTTGAATCCATCAATTTGTGATGGAAAGATTCGAATGGAAGGAGAGTACTTTAACAATTAAGAAGAAAAATAAGTAGTAATGAACGAAGTAATGAAGAAAAATAAGTAGTAAAGAAAAATAAACTCTTTTTACATAAAATGTATTTTTCCTCTCCAAATATTTTTAAATTAAATTTTTTT